GATGACACAGAATGGAGATACAGACTTGTGGCAAACCTATTGATTCATTGTTGGAAAAGGTTCTCTGTATGAATATACTATCTTCTGATTATTTCAAAGAGCTTTACCGATTGAAGACTTACCACGAAGTGATCGATGAAATTTACAATCAAGTTGATCATGTGGAACCCTGGATGACGGGGAACTGTCGTGGTCCTTCAACAGCTTTCTGCCTTCTTTACAAGTTTTTTACCATGAAACTTACTGTCAAACAAATGCATGGGCTGTTGAAGCACCTAGATTCTCCTTACATAAGAGCAGTAAGTACTACTTTACCTTTTTGTTGTTTCAAATTGGTGGTATTTTGCATCACCTTGACTGTCACATTCTAGGCAGAATCATTAAACCGAATGTTAACCATAAAGCTGATGGATTTGCCATTGTTGTGCAAACTGGATTGAAAGATTGTAGTTTGATATATTGCCTTGTACTTTGCCATATGTTTTGAGGTTAGATATCATTAATGCTGATATTTGCTACCAGTATTAGTATCTCCTTTATCTTTGATTTGGAGATTAATATGGCACTTGATATAAGTAAATAATAATTTCCTCTCGGGTCTGACGATGTGGGAATGTAATTAATTATCTGAAGTCTATGGAGACTCTTTTGCTTTTATGACTTCAAATTTATAAAATGGTATGCAATGGATGATAATGATAACACCATATAATTATGATAGCTAGCATTTAAATTGGGTGTGCAGACACCTAGTTTTCTTGAAACAAATTGTATGAACTGATAATTTAACTGGAATAGTATACTAGTTGGGTATACAAATTCATGCTGAAGTCATCAAATCTGACATGAGATCTTCATTATCAGCATGTTTATTTTTCTATTTTCTAGTTTTACAGTGGCCTCTCTGCTCAGTTTAAGGTCACCAATTTGTTTTCTCTATTGAGATATGCTGCTTGCTCTTTTTAATAGCTCATTTTTTTGTCACAGATTGGATTTCTCTATTTGAGATATGCAGCAGATCCAAAGACTCTATGGACCTGGTATGAACCATACATTAAAGATGAGGAGGTAATAAAATTTTGACTGCTCATGTTTTTCAGATTTGATTATTTGATAATGTGTCTTAATTCTCAAAAGTGCCAGTATCTTTCTTCCCTGGGTTAGTATGTTAGAGTAAAGACATCAACAATATGATGCAATATGAAAGACTTAGCACAAATAATTTTTTGTTGGAACCATTTTATGAATGAAATTGTGTTTCTTATTTCAGGAATTCTCTCCTGGATCCAATGGACGAAGGACCACAATGGGTGTATATGTGCATGATTTGCTTCTAGGGCAGGTTAGTGGCATGGGGCACTTTGATTAAATTAGTGGAAATGGTGGACAGTTCTTTTATATTCTTTCCAGAATT